TGACATTATCCTTGGCGCCCCCCCCTGTGCCACGTGGAGTAGAGCGCGCTTTCACGGAGGAGGTCCTCGTCCACTCCGATTTCGGTCGGAGCCGCTGGGCAGGAGCGACCTGTCGAAGGAGGAGCGCGCGAGAGTCACGGAGGCGAACGTGCTTCTCTTCAACCTGCTCGCCTTGTGCGACGTGGAGGAGCAGTACGGGGGGGGCTACCTGTTCGAACACCCCGCGGACCCGGAGGAGGAGCCGTACCCGAGCATCTGGGACCTGGAGGCAGTGAAGGGCATGTTGGGGCGACACGGCGTGCGCACCACCAGGATCGACCAGTGTATGTACGGGGGACCGGCCCAGAAGCCCACTACGCTGGCTTCGAACTTGGACGGCATTCAAGAGCAGGCGTTGCTGTGTGATGGGAGACACCGTCACGAGAAGGCCTACGGGAAGAACGAGCGCGGCATCTTCAGGTCGCGCCGGCTGCAGGCCTACCCGCCTGGCTTGTGCCGCGTGATCGCCCTCAGTGTAGTCAGGACGGCGCTTCGGATGCTGACCGCAGGCCGGGGACCAGGAGGGTGGCTCAGGACGGGGCGGGAGAAGCCGCGTCACACCCAGTGGAGCTTCGAGAGCGAGAAGGAGGGCCTCTTCGTGCTGAACGAGCTGTACCGCCGGGGCGGCAGTGTGAGGCTGCGCCCAGGCTTCCAGGCGATCTACGTGCACGTGGACGACGGGCTCAACATAGCGGCTTGCCGCAGAGGCGGGTCGGCTGACGTGGTGAGTGAGCAGATGATGCAGAAGGTCGCCGACGCCTGGGAGCAGGCCGGCTTCGTCGTCAACGAGCGCGAGAGGATCGAGGAGGGCTCGAAGATCGTGGGCTACGAGTTGCAGAACTTTCCGCCTCGCCTGAAGCTGGCTAGTGGCAAAGCCAGCTGTTTGGAGGCGGCACTTACGTGGATCATGGAGACGCCCTGGGTGGACGTGGAGCTGCTCAGGGCTTTGGTGGGTGTGTGGCTGTGGGGGGCGCTCTTGAGGCGCGAACTCATGGCCATCCCTGCCGCAGTGTTCGACCTGCTCGAGAAGAGGCAGGGTCAAGTCGCGTGGTGGTGGGCCTCCGCCCGCCGCGAGGTGCGCGTCATGAGAGACATGATCCCGATGATGTCGTGTGTCTTGGATCTACCGGCAGCGCCCGTACTCTTTGCTTCGGATGCGGAGGGAGCCAACCGAGTCGACCACGGCGGGTACGGCATCGTCGTGACGCCCATCACCCAGAGTGAGTCAGAACAAGTCATCGGAGCGGGTACGAGGCCTGGGCATACAGTTTCCAGGCTGGACGGCACGGTCCTCCATTTGAACCGTGCTGATCGAGAGCTGCGTGGCCGCATCCCGGTGTCGCGCATCCCGCGAGAGCTGCTGCAGATCCCTCAGGAGATGTGGCACGAGCTGGACGCGGGACGCTGGCGCTCGCCTGACCACATCATCTTGGGAGATGGCCGAGCCGTGGTCAGACTTTGTCAGGCGCTCTCTCTTCTTCCAGGAGCTCATGACCACGCTATCTGCAACGTGGAGGATAATGAGCCGTTGTCCTCAGCAGCAGCAAAGGGGCGTTCATCGGCCCCGCATCTCAACTACCTGCTGAGGAAGATTAGTGCACTTTCAGTGGCAACAGGCATCAAACTATACCTACCCTGGGTGGACACCGCACACCAGACAGCTGATGAGTTGTCAAGGAGGAAGCGGAGTGGCTTGGTGCGCTCGGCGGGTCGGACCTCGTCGAGTCGACCCTGACCAGGCCGCGCGGGTGACTGAGAAGACTTTAGAAGTATATCGCAGCGCTGGGCTTCGGTTTTCGACCTGGGCCCTCCAGCGCGGCCTGCGTCCCAGCGGTGCTGACGAATGGGACGACCTTCTAGTTGAGTTCAAAAATGATCAGATTGAGAACCTCACTCCAGCGAAATTCGTGAATACAGTTGCAGCAGTTGAGTTCTTCTTCCCTCGCATGCGGGGGAGACTGTTGTGGAGCAAGGCTGTCATTGCAGGCTGGGAAAGAAATGTTGGACGCAAACATACGGTGCCTCTCGGGAAGTTGCCTGGTAAGCTCCTCGGGGTTCACATGGCCGCCAGGGGGAACCCGCGTCTGGGCCTTGCTCTCATCGTGCAATGCCATACGGGCTTACGCCCCTCGGAGCTCTTGGGAATACTACCGGAGGACCTCATCTTCCCTCGAGACTTGGGCGAGAACATCAACATCGCCTCGGTCTCTATCGCTCTTGGGGCTCGTACGGGGACAAAGCTCAAGAGGCCCCAGGTGGCGCGCATATTCCAGGAGGACAGGGACATCATGGAGGTGCTTGAGGAGATCACGAGGGCCACCCCAGCTGGGACTCCGCTCTTCCCCTTCAGCCTAGCCCAGTATCGTAAGACTCTCAAGGACACCGAGGGCTCGTTGGGCCTATCTATGGGTTGGGGGCCTCACAGCCCCAGAGCAGGATGGGCGAGTGACTCGAGGGCCGAAGGGCTCTCGTTTGAAGAAGTTCGGGAGAGAGGGAGGTGGATCTCAGATGGGAGTTTGCGCATCTATCTTGACATCGTCGGTGCGAGCCACATCCTCACCCAGCTAAACACGAAGGGCTTTGCGCAGCAGCTGCACTGGCTCAAGAGAGGGTGGCGCCAGTACTTTCCTGCGTTCGTCTGGGGAGCGCACCTTCCTCCAGCATATGGCGCCCAAGGGCTACGTCAAGGACAAGATCACTGGGGGGTGGATCAAGGGCCCAGACTTGACGGAGGAGAACGTGCCACCACTGCCGAGCCCGCCTGGGACACCGTCCAGTTGGGTGCAGTGCGTCAGTGCTCCGCCGTCAAGGGCCACGTCGCGGACGGCATCGCCGGGGGCAGTTTCGCTCGTCCTCACGCCGCCCAAGGCCAAGAGCCCGGGTACGCTGCCGCCCGCCACTGTGCTCGCAATCCCTCCTCCGGAGGCAGCGGGCCAGCCGATGACGCACAAGCTGCAGTTCTACGCACAGGCACCGTGCAAGCCGCAGCAGACCAGGGCGCAAAAGGGAAGCTACCTCAAGTCGGTTGTTGGCTACAGTAGGGTGCTCCAGATTCTCTGCGGCCCGTGTTTCGTGCCTGCCATCATCCTCACGGTGCTCGTCGTCAGTTTCCCGTCGAGCCTCTTTCCTAACATGTCCAGGGGTGCCGAGGCTGCGGCGTCCCTGGTGGAGGATGTGGCAGGCGCAGGTGGGGCTGTGGCCCTCGCGGCCAGGAACCTGACTTTGGCCGTGAGTGGGGTTGCGCTATCAGTTGCAAGAAATTCTGCTACGTTTGTGGATGAAGCGTGGTCTGGGATAGATCTGCTGGGCTGCCGCTTGAATGTCACAGGCGGCCGCTTCGTCGTTGACATTGGTGCACGCTCTCGCCCCAGTATGATGAAGGAGCTCGAGCGGGGGCTGTCCGTGGTGCCAGATGACCTGGCAGTGGAGTTGTGGGGTTCCATTAACGCTGTATCGGTCAGGGCGCCAGTGGCGGCGCGGCTCTCCCCCCAGTTCAATTTCACGGAGAGCTTCTTCATCTGGGATTGGGAGGTACTGTTAGTGGACGAAGAGGTGCTGGCAGTACGATATTATTTCGCTAGATTGGGATTTGAACTTCAGTGGGCTAATCCGTTGTGGGCACTCACAGGGGCCGATCCCGGAAGAGAGCTGGAGCGCATCACGACGAGAGTCAAGGATGCGATAGAGTCGGCAGTCGACGCCTCCGTGCTGCGGACACCGCTGACCGCGCAGGAGATACTCCAGTTCCCCACCACTCGCCCTCCCTTTTGGTTCCGTCTCGGCCGGTGGGCCCACGCGCAGTTCGATTGGTTATGGTGCGCAAGCGGTGTTTGGCTCTGAGGTTCAGTGGGTTCAAAGCCATATGAGTGGTATGATCGGATACCGGAGTTTGGCATTATCTCAGAGCGGACATGTTGTATACGTTATGGAGTTCAGATTTCCCTTGATAATCGGATGAGGTCAAATACAAAGGAGACCCTCGGCCGAGGGAGTTTAATTGGAAGCATGTTGCGACACGTCTGAACTGTGATCGACAGGAGATATGGCTTTGGTCATTTCGTGGTCTGTTGAAAAAAGGAGTTGATTATCGAGATAATCGTGAGTGACGCTTGCTGTTGTTTCCTATTCTGCACAGGCTTCGCCTTGGCACGCCCTACCTGTACAGGCTTTGCCTACTCGTCCCTAGCTTTTCCCTTCCTTGCCCCTGACCGCCGTGGGGGCGGTGTGGGGGTCGGGTGGGTGGGTCTCCAGAGGCTTTAGGAACTCAATGCGTTTTGTACATTATGATGAAGTGAGAGTCTTCGAGCGGGTATTAATGTATAGTGTTGGTCCAGCCATGCTCTTCAACAGCAAGCGTGCTTCCATAGCTTTTCGGGCCCACCCGATCCCGCCCTTTGGAGTTCAGGGGATTTTCCCTTGATAATCGGATGAGGTCAAATACAAAGGAGACCCTCGGCCGAGGGAGTTTAATTGGAAGCATGTTGCGACACGTCTGAACAGTGATCGACAGGAGATATGGCTTTGGTCATTTCGTGGTCTGTTGAAAAAAGGAGTTGATTATCGAGATAATCGTGAGTGACGCTTGCTGTTGTTTCCTATTCTGCACAGGCTTCGCCTTGGCACGCCCTACCTGTGCAGGCTTTGCCTACTCGTCCCTAGCTTTTCCCTTCCTTGCCCCTGACCGCCGTGGGGGCGGTGTGGGGGTCGGGTGGGTGGGTCTCCAGAGGCTTTAGGAACTCAATGCGTTTTGTACATTATGTATGTATGTATGTATGTATGTATGTATGTATGTATGTATGTATGTATGTATGTGCGCCTGTATATATATATAGATATAGATATACAGACACACATATACATATGTATATATAAATATGTATATAGATTCGACGTCAAATTTGACTTTAGGGTACACCAATTTTGTAGGCCATCCCCTGCTCGACACCCCCCCCCCGGTGGAG